ATATGGAATATGCTTGAGCAGATTCAAATGTGATGCCAGAAAAATCAAAATTTTTTTAAATAGATTCAAATTTAATACAAGAAAAATTGAATTTCTGCATCAAATTTGAGTTTGCTTGCTCGTTTTTTTGTCATATTAAATATTAGATTTCACCACATATAATTTTAAAAATAAAAATTTTTTAAATGGTTCTTACTGCATTAAAAATTGGACTTAGCAAGCTTTTACACGATATGTTATTTCCTTAGTTTGTATTTAAATTAAGAAAGATATGTTTTTCCCTTATCATATTACATCGTATGATTTAAAGACAAAATGGAAATTGCTTAAAATTTATTATATAAATTTTATCTACAACAAAAATGCTCAATTAATAAAAATATAAATAAGGAGTTGAAAAAAATTACAATTCTCACAAAATCAAGATGTATAATCTTTATATAATATTTACATTTTTCTTCATATTTAAAATTGAGTATTTCCTTTTCTTTAATATGTTTTATTTGCACTCTGTAATTTTTATATTTATATTAAATATTCATATTTATTTAATTTTTCAATAATAATATTATTTTGTAAGTTTAAAAAGCATTTTTTATTTATATCATTTTGTCTTCTTTTAAAACAAATTTTTATTTAATAATATTATATTCTTTTATTAAGGGTAATAGAGTAAAATAGCTCAATTTTCCCATCTCTTCTCATCCAACGAAACACAAAGTTTTTATTAAATTCATTTTTAATTCTAGTGTGAACCAATTACTCATTTGACCGAAAATTTTTTATTCTCCTTTTAATTTTTTTAATTTTTATTTCAATCAAGGCTTTAAACCAAACTGGCATAAATCAAATACAATGCACTTTCAATCTACACTTCTAAAATTTGTAATGCCCTCTTCTAAAATTTGTATGAAGATGGCGTGGGATCAGTTACTGCATAAAGGAATGCTTCGGAATTATAGCATGATGTTTGTCCAAATCAAGGACTTACTTCTTCTACCATGGGAACTAAAGCTGATCTATGCACCTCGATCCTGTAATGGTGTGGCAGATACTCTAGCTAAGCGAGGAATTGCAAATTCTGTTCTTTACGAGGTTTGTCCTGCTTTCATTAAGGACACTGTGCAGAGAGTATGGGATTAAGTCCCCCGTTTATTTAATTTCTTGTAATTGGGCTTTGCCCTCTTTTGTACCAAAAAAAAAAAAATTGTAATGCCTGACAAAGTTAAAATGATTCGGGCACATTATTCAAGTAAAATTAAATCCTAATGCGTTCAATAGAAGTAGCATATACTCGGCACTTACGTAAGTTCTCTTCTTCTTTTTTCTTTTTTTTTTTCCGCCCACGACATGTGTAGGTTTGTCTATGACCTGTTAGGTTCGATTATAAGAATGAGAATTATATGTAATCATCATGCAAAAATTTGATTCAATTATTTGGTTAGATTTTGTAACGTAAAGAGGATTATATCTTGACATTCTAATTCCCTTAAAAACCTGCATTCGGATTACATAAGTAGATCCTATGAATGAGGATTACGTGATAAAAAGAAATACATTATTACCCCTTTAAAAAATCAGACATGAGTGGACCTTTCTTCTCCATCTCCGTTGTCACCATCTTACAGCTCCCCGCGTGCTGTAGCTTCAACCATAGTGGGTGCATTTGTGCTCCACCCATTCACCGCTCACCAAAGAATCTCATCCATAATCATTGACCGTCGGTAGCAACCTTCGTCCTCCCCACATGCTTTACCTTGACGGTACCGCCGTCCCCATCAAACTCCCTCCCCGAGCTCATTCTCCTACTTCTCCATCCATCCATTCTCTTTTTTATCCAGCCCCAACCTCTGCGCACACCCACCTTCTTTCAACTCCAAGATCAAAACCCCTCAAAGGTCATTCAACTTGGAGAGATCCATTTATCACAAAAGTCATTCTCGACCAATCACCTCCTTACTCCTCTTTATTTCTTTGATTTGCAGGAACTTTTTGTGAATGATTTCTGATTTTGTGGGAAGAAAACAAATTTTCTTGCTGATTTGTGACAAGAAAGAAACACTGCTTCGCGATGAGGAAGAAGCACAGGACGCAGGAGGGAGGCTTTTCCCCTTTTTTTTTACAAGGATATTTTTGTATTTTTAATTTTATTTATAATTAAGTGAATATAAAAAATATATTTTATTACCCTTTTTTTTTTTACAAGGATTTTTTGTATTTTTATTTTTATTTATAACTAAGTGAATATAAAAAATATATTTTATTGCCCCATTCCTAATATAGCACCAAATAAACTTATTGTAATCAACAATACATTACTTATTACATTACATTCCTTATCATTCAACAAACTAAACCGGAATAAATGTGAAGTTTAACTTCTTGCGTTTTATCATGTATTACTTTGCTTCATGTACCGTTGCTGTTGAAGTTTTATCACATACTATTATTTAGGAATTATAATAGGAAAATATATTTTACTTATAATTCGTACATAATTCATTTTTAGAATTAATACTATTTTTATCATACTAAAATTTATTTGAAAAATAGTTATAACAATTTTCCTCTCTCTAATTGAATCCTCTCAAAATACATCTTTGAATAGATATGTTTATGAGGGGAAAAATAAATACTTACATGTAATTAGTGTATTCCTAATATTCTCATAGACGGGGATCGGTTGCCGCCTAGATGGGCCAACATATAAGAAAAATTCAAAGTGTTATGACCCAATCAGTCTACCCCATCAATGAAGAGCTGAATGCTTTCATGCATAACACTTGAACCACTTATAAAATAATTTTAAAAAAATAATTATTAATTATTAATATTAGTACTGAATAGAGCTGATTATATGAGACAAAAATTAGGAAAAATATTTAAAAAAATGACGATTAAATTTCAAAATTCCAAATAAAAAATTACTACAAAAATTTGTTGTTATTTGCTTTTTAAGTGTAGTGATATTCTTTATAAGTATATTAATCAATACTGATTTAGAATTTTAGAATTCAACAATGATTTTTTTAAGATTTTTTCAAAACAATACTTACGTGAAACTAGCACCCTCTAACATCCCTGACAGATAGGGATGGATTGCCTCCCAATTGGGCCATCAAATAAGCAAAAAGTATCATGATACTTCACTACAATTAAATGAATTTTCTCAAATTATTATATACAATATTGAGTTTTTCTTTAAACTTTCTTGTGTGTTTACTATATTTTTCAATTTGTATTTTGAATTACCAATAGTCTAACTTTGATACCAATTGATAGTATCTAAACCTGTCGTAGTGTCATTAATAATTGTTTTGTCAAATTAAAATCTAATTGAGAAATAATTATAATTATTTGCCTATCTAATTGAGTCCTCGCAAAACATATCACTAAATAGATATGATTATGGGAGACAAAATAAATACTTACCTACAATTAGTGTATCTTTACTATCCACCATAGACAAAAGAGGATTGCTGTTCAAATAGGCCAGCATATAAAAGAAAATCAAAGTGTTATGGCCTAATATGACTGCCCCATCAATGAAGAGTTGAATGTTCTCATCAGTAGGAGTTAAACCACTTACAAAATAATTTTTTAAAAAATAATTAATATTTATTAGCAGTGAGTAGAGTTGATTATATAAGAAGAAAAAACCTTATATGAAACTAGCATACTCCTAACATCCTCCACAGATGGGGATGGATTACCCTCAATTGGGCCATCGAATATGGAGAAAGCATTTTAATGTTTTCATACAATTAAATAAATTTACTCAAATTATCATGCATAATATTGCGTTTTTCTATAAATTTTATTGTATGCTTGTTTTATTGTTTTTGGTTTATATTTCAAATTGTTAGCAATTTAGCTCTGATACCAATTAATAGGTATTTGAACCTGTCTCTAATGTCAATTTATAGATAGTTAAATTCTTATATCAATTAGTGGGTACCTAAGTTCATCTATGATATCAATTTATGAGTAAAATTATTTGCTAAGGTAAGAGAACCAACTTACCTAAATAATTGATTAAACAACAAGGTAATTTGTGAGGCTTTCTTTTTTTCAAATTTCGAGGGCATTATATGTTTTCAGTTTAAAGTAACGCTCAACTTCCATAATTGCTTCCAAAAAAATAAATCACAGTAGCAATAATTTATACGAAAACAAAAAAAAAATATTATGCATAGTTTATTTTACACTTTATATTGATATTTAAATTAGGATGTTTCACTAGAGAATGACTATAAAAGCATGGATATTTAGGTAAAGGTGATTGTTGCCTGTCCATTTTTAAAAAATAATTGGTTAAAATTTTTAGATTTTGACACTTGAAACTATATTTGAATTATGCAGATTTTACCACAACTGTATTTGAATTATGTAGATTTTACCATAGCAATAAACACTATAATTCTTATTATTTTCTATGATATTTTCCAGTGTTGTATGTATGTAACTTGGGGTTGCCTAAGTGAAAACCAAATCATAATTTTAGAAGTGATTTTATGATATATGAAGTAAATATATGAAGGAATTTGTTTCGGTTCGTAGAAAAAAAGTATTTTCAAACACCTTCTTGAATTAATTTTATCATAAAAGTTTAACTTATCTTGTCCGTAGTTTAAAAGCCGAAAACGTCAGCGGCAAAGTCCTGATGTATGAGCATACGTATCTCCTACATATACTTTAATCGGTATATAATTTTTAAAGGCCTCAATAATTATCAAATTTCATACTGTTTTGACCGGCAATTTTTTTTTTTTTTTAAACCAATGCCGGCAAGTTGACTTTTAAGCGTCAAGAATCTTAAAGGATTTTGTAAGTTATCCTTGGAAAGTAAGAAATATTGTCCCGTCATGGGCCACGTCATCATCCTATTGCATGTGGCCGAAGAGGGCCAAATCAACGACGAGGAAAGCACGCTCAAAGCTACTTGGAATCTCTATATGTATAAATGAAGTCTTCCCGGTACAGGAAAACACTTGGGAGAGAATATAGAGACATGGAGGAGCAAAAGAAGGTGGTCCTGCACGGAATGTGGATAAGCCCTTACGTGAAGAGGGTGGAGCTGGCTCTAAAGGTGAAGAACATCCCTTTTGAATACGTTGAAGAAGATTTGGTCAACAAAAGCGAGTTGCTTCTCAAGTATAATCCGGTGCATAAGAAAGTTCCAGTACTTGTTCACAATGGAAACCCCATTTGTGAATCACTCGTCATCATTGAGTACATTGACGAGACCTGGAAAAATGGCCCCAAATTGTTGCCTGAGGATCCCTATAAAAGAGCTCAAGTTCGCTTCTGGTCTAAATTCATGCAGGATCAGGTAATTTTACATCTTGAGTGGCTTGTTTGATGGTAAAAGTTAACATATCATGCATGCGGAATGGGGGCTTATTGTAAAATATTATAATCCTAGATTTATTGATTTGTGAACTGTAAGGAGTATTTTGATGGGGAATCTTGTTTCTGATTAATGTCTTTTTTCGTCTGTTTCGATGTAGCTATTTGAGGCGGCGCTTGCACTTCTGAAAACTGAAGGTGAAGCACAGGAAAGGGCCTTGAAGGACATGTACGAGAAACTTTGCCTGCTTGAAAAGGGGATGAAGGAGTATTGTCCGGGTGGCAAACCAGAAGTGGACGACAAGAATGTAGGATTGCTTGACATCATATTCTGTACAGTATTTGGAGCCTACAAGTCGTATGAAGAGGTTCTGGGTGTGAAATTTTTAGACGCGGACAAGTTTCCTGTGTTGTTCTCTTGGCTAATGGCTGTCGTTGACCTCCAAGTGGTGAAAGAGGGAGCCCCTCCTCATGAAAAAGTGGTCCAGTTTCTTCAGTTTATTCGCCAGTCTGCTCTCCGTTCTGCTGCAGCCCCGTAATCAAGACTTCAAAAGCAGGCTTTCTTATTGTGCAAAACATTTTAGCACATCTATACCTCCAGTAAATTGTAATCTCTCCTTCCTCGTCTGTGGTTGTCGTTTGTATCTGTATGTAAGCATTTGTACGCGTGTTCGTGTTCTTGTGTTAACGTATTTGTGTCCATGTATTCTCAAGAAATAATAAGGATAATGAAACTTGGATCTTTTAACCGTGTCTTAGATATTGATAAATGGGTCTTAGATGATACTGATTTGATCAGTAAAATTTAATATTTATCGAACTAAGTTGATCTCATCAAACTAGTCATTTTGGAAAGAAAAAAATACTATAGATGTTACATCCCATATGGATCAAGACAAGTCGAGCACACGCTAAGATGGGATGAGTGAAGTGGGTTTTGAGGAACTGGAGAGTAAAGATTGCAGCCACTGAAGAGGCTAGCCATGAGGTATAGATGATGACCAAAGAAGTAGCTACTGCCTTCAAAGATGGCATGGGAATTAGTATCTCCGACCATTGCATTTCGCTGCTGAGCAAGTGCAGGAATCTCAAATCGGTCAAGCGAATCCACGCTCTTCTCTTCAAAACTGGCCTCCACAATGATTCCTTGGTCGCTGGCAAGTTCCTTCTCCACTGTGCCATTTCCATCCCCGATGCTCTCCATTACGCTCACCGTTTCTTCCTTCACTTCCCGACCCCTGATGTTTTCATGTACAACACACTCATTCGAGGACTCGTTGAGTCTGAATCTCCTCACAGCTCTCTCCAACTCTTCATCCAAATGCGTCGACAATCCTCCTTCCTGCCCGATAGTTTCTCTTTCGCCTTTATTCTCAAAGGGGTTGCTAATTGCAGGGATATGAAATCTGGGATGCAGTTACACGGTCAATCTTTGTGCTTTGGGCTGAGCACTCATATCTTCGTTGGGACAACTCTGATTAGCATGTATGCAGAATGTGGGAACTCGGCCTTTGCTAGGAAGGTGTTTGAAGAAATGTGGCAGCCAAATGTTGTTACCTGGAATGCTATTTTGACTGCCTGTTTTAGGTGTGGGGATCTGGAGGGGGCTGAAGGTACGTTTAAACGGATGCCTAATCGGAATTTGACTTCATGGAATGTGATGCTTGCTGGATATACCAAAGCAGGTGAGCTTGAGTTAGCGAGACGAGTATTTTCTGAAATGCCTCTGAAAGATGATGTTTCATGGAGCACTATGATCGTTGGGTCTGCTCAAATCGGCTCTTTTGATGAGGCTTTTGGTTTTTTCAGGGAGTTGCAGCGTCAGGGAATCAGACCTAATGAGGTAAGCTTGACGGGGGTGCTTTCGGCGTGTGCACAAGCTGGGGCTTTTGAATTTGGGAAGATTTTACATGGATTTGTACAGAAAGCTGGGTTTCTTCAGATTGCTTCAGTGAGCAATGCTCTGATAGACACCTATTCAAAATGTGGAAATGTGGTTATGGCTAGGTTGGTCTTTCAAAGCATGCAAGTGGGGAGAAGCATTGTGTCTTGGACATCCATGCTTGCAGGACTTGCTATGCAGGGTCATGGAGAAGAGGCGATACAACTTTTTCACGAGATGGAAGAGTCTGGTATTCAGCCGGATGGTATCACCTTCATCTCTCTTTTATATGCTTGTAGTCATGCTGGCTTGGTTGAGCAAGGGAGTGCTTATTTTTCTCAGATGCAAAGTGTGCACGGCATTGAACCCGCCATGGAGCACTACGGCTGTATGGTTGATCTCTATGGTCGAGCAGGGAAGTTGCAGAAGGCCTATGAATTTGCATGTCAAATGCCAATTGTACCTAATTCAATCATCTGGAGGACTCTCCTTGGAGCTTGTAGCATTCACGGCAATGTTGAGTTGGCAGAGCTGGTGAAAGCAAGGCTTGCTGAAATGGATCCTAACAATTCTGGCGATCATGTTCTGCTCTCCAACATATATGCCACTGCCGGGAAATGGAAGGACGTTGCCAATATAAGAAGATCCATGGCCGAACAGAACATAAAAAAAGCTCCTGGCTGGAGCATGATTGAAATTGACAAGGTCATTTATAGTTTCGTGGCAGGTGAAAAGCCTAATGAATTTACAGATGAGGCTCACAATAAGCTGCAGGAAATAGTGTGGAGACTCAGAGCGGAAGCCGGCTACGTGCCACAGGTAAGGAGTGTTTTGCACGATATTGAAGAAGAAGAGAAAGAAGTTTCGGTGTCTAAGCACAGCGAGAAGCTTGCTGTGGCCTTTGGAATTTCAAAACTTCCAAAGGGGAAGATGATAAGAATAGTGAAGAACCTGAGGGTTTGCAGTGATTGTCATACAGTAATGAAGTTGGTTTCTAAAGTTTATGGGGTAGAGATCATTGTGAGGGATAGAAGTCGCTTCCACTCGTTCGAAGATGGGTTTTGCTCTTGTAGAGATTACTGGTGATGGATGAGCTAGCTTTACCTGAAGCGCTACTATTCGTTGTATTGGCTGACGAGCTACATAGAAGAATGCCGACGCAAAGAGAACCTTTCAGTTGTGAAGATCAAAGAAAATGGACTGAACAAAAAATTGGCCAGGGACTGTTACAGTTTATTTCCCAACTTTATGGATGGTGCTGAGATGAAGTTTATTACGAAGTGCAGCTTCAGCCTGATCAAAGGTGTTTCTGGAAACTGCATTTTTTGTTGTCCTGATCGAGGGAAGCAAGAAAACCAAAATCCTACTTTTGGTTTGGTGGCAATGCTGCAACTTTTTTTTCCATTCATTTTGTATCGTTCCTCATTCATCTTTAAAATTGCGCGAGTAAACCCTACGTATATAGTCTTCATTTTCACGCTCTATTTATAAATTATTTTACATATATATTTTGCAGTGGCCAATTAAAAATTGAGTGACACATTCAAATTTACTTTATAGTAAAATCAATTTAAACAAATAACTTACTGCAAATCTTGAATAAATTAACTTAGATCACATATATTAAAAGTATCAAAATAAGTCTAGATAATTATGTTAATAAAAATATAGATGAAATTAAAAAGTATAAAGCTATAGTATGTAGATAATTTAGTTGAAAGGAATTTAGCATTTCCCTTCAGTATTCCGAAACAACAAGGAAGGGTAATAAAATATAATGATAGAGGATTTGAAAAATTTACATCCTGAAAATTTAAAAATTATAAGCATTATTTTATGAAATTAAAAATTACTGCCTCCGGTCCTAATTATAAGAGCTACTTGACTAATTTGAGAAGATTAAGAAAAGAAGTTAAGTTACTTATTTGTAATAAATAAGTATTTTTTTTCTAAAATATCCTTACTAATTAAGTGCATTAGCTAGAACTACTATTGTTAGAAAGACTACTTTGAAAAAAATACATAAATATGAGAGACAAAGTAGATTGGGGTTTTATATTTAGAATCAAAATAAAAGTCAAACAAGATCGTATATTAAAGACTGGAAGTAGTATTATATTTTTGTATTCAATAATACTCCTCCGGTCCTTAATATAGGACTCAATTGTTGAGTTGGTTTTGATCCGAAATATAAGATCCATTTTTTCATATTTATCAATTTTATCTAAATTAACCTTATAGATATTTCCTCAACCAATGACGTAGAAGTGGAAGAGGGGTATTAAGAAAGATAATTATGGTATTTTAAAAAAATGTATCATATTTTTTATAATTAACTAATTACCTAACTTTTTTAATTTAATTAAATTAGTTAAACATGTCTTATATTATATCAAGTATACGAGGAGTAAGTAATTTTTGCATAACGTGGTCAAGGTTGTGGGGGCCGAGCGGCTACTGAGCAAAGTCGTTTGATATTTTTTGGCCGTGAAATATCATCGAACTGGCAGTCAGCATTTTCTGCCATCACCCAGCTTCTATCTCTGCATCTTTCATCTCCATGGCGCTCTCTGCTACATTCTCCGCTCCATCATCGCCAAGCCTCAAACTTTCCGCCAAATTTCGTAGATTTTGTTTCTCTCATACCATCAATTTCCGTAGGCCCCTTCAAATTAGGGCTTCAACTACTCTTGATTACTCCAATGTCTCTGTAAATGACAAGCCCACCCCATTAAAGGTGAGAACGATACTCTGTAATTTTAGCCGTACTCGTGGTGTTGCTTTTTAATTAATCTCTCTCATCAATTTGGCGTTTGTTTGCACCTATATTAGATGAATAGAACAAAGTGGCTATAATGATATTCATTTGATATAGCTATGGTTTTTGCGTTTTCGAAACTACTGTCTAAATCTCAGATGTAAGTGTTAGACTGAAAAATGTGGCCTTCATTTTCATGTAAATTAATAATTGCACCGAGTAGAGGAAGCAAGCTCAAGTGATTAAGCTCAAAAAAACTTCAAAAGTCTATTATATAGTAATTTCATTTTTTATAGGAACTGTGATGTAATTATTGTTTCAATTACTTGAAAATCTACTAAACTTCATTAACTGTAAGGTGCCTTCTAGACTTCTAGTTAATATAATCACGCGAACGCGCGCTTCTTGTAAACTAATCACTGGGAACTTGTAGCATTTGCTTGTCACTTTAGTGATACTTTTCATTTTGACACTTTCTTTCCCAGACTAATACTTGGCAATGGAAATTCAAAGACAATAATATCAGTATTTATTATGAAGAGCATGTAAAGGATGGTGCTGAACCTTCCCAGAATATTTTGATCATGCCAACCATTTCTGATGTAAGCACTGTTGAGGAATGGAGGTCCGTGGCTGGAGAAATTGTCCAACGTGATGGCAAAGTCAATTGGCGAGCAACTATAGTTGATTGGCCTGGTCTGGGATATTCTGATAGGCCAAAGATTGATTACAATGCTGATGTCTTAGAAAATTTTTTGGCTGAATTCATCAATGCACCCAATAGCCCGATTAAGCAACCAGGTTATTACGAACAGCCTTTGGCCAACCCCCCCGGGGGTCATCCTTTGCAGTTTTGAGCTATATTTCTTCAGAATAAATTACGCTAACTTCTTTGGCGAAATTACACAGATCTCTTGTTTCAAGAATCTTATTTTGCTCCTCTGACATTTCACATATATAGCGAAGATCCATATTCCGATTCCTGTGAACGAAGTTGAATTTATTTTTGCACTCCCAAAAAATGATTTTATTTTTAATATTTTTAATATTACTGTAAAGGAATGTTAATTTGATGTTATTGAAAAAAAACAGCCAAGTATTGTTTTGGTTTTTTTTAGAACGAATGCATATTGTGTGAAAAGGTAACTTCATTGAGAAGTAAATTAGAGGGGAGTTATCTGCAATATATATCCATGTCAAAAGAACCACATAATGGTTTTTGGACAAAAGCAATATTAATTGTCATTTAGCACAGTCTTAGGGGAGATTATGTAATTTACCTATTTGCTACTAGTTTAACATCATCACACTACGGGAACATTGCAGATACGATTGATATTCGCATCTTAGAAAAATCTGCCTGATAATTTACTTATTTTCTTGTTTAGAGCAGTTTGAACTAGGATATGTCTTCTGTTATTTATTCGGAAGTTTGAGGAGTATAATCTATTGAATTTCACTGTTAAAAGAGTTCTTTGTCTGGAAGCTACTACTAAGCTAGGCGTGAGTGAATGTTGATTTTGAAATATATACTGTGACTGCTTGCAAGGGCCCCTGAGGGCTGGTTTTTAAATTTTCTGAGGATGAGAAAGCAAGAATTTAGAAATGATGGTCATCCTTTCTGGTACAATGGGAAATGGTCTTTGCAGACAGTTGAAGGAGGGATTTCCTGATTGGTCACTTCAAGTCCTAAAATTTTATACGGTGTAGTGTTTACAACTAGTGCTCACATGATTCTGACTATGTCAGTCCTACTCCTACCTGACCTGAACTCTTATCTCCATTCCTGGATTATATGCATAAATAAACAATGAATGGCTGTTACTGTGTTAAACAGTCATAACTGTAATAGTTACTCCTTCCCTGTGACTTATATGCAATTAGCAATTGCTTTTTATCATAACATAATTCTTCTGTTTCCTGTATCAAGCGCCATGTTTACCAGATTTTTTAAATCCTAGGAGCTAGTTATTCTTGACAACTTGTTTGGGCTTGCCTTCACTTGGCGGTCTCCAGTAGTTATATATTTTTCCCTGTATGAGTAATGAGTATTTTGATATGTTGGGTGATTAATTAGTGTACTAACAATATTTATTAAACCAGAAAATGATTTAGTAATATTCGGAGGAGGCCATGCAGCATCAATAGTTCTTCGTGCTGCAAAAAAGGGTTTGGTGAAGCCCAAAGCTGTAGCTGCTGTTGCTCCAACTTGGGCCGGGCCCCTTCCTATTGTGTTTGGTCGAGATTCTAGCATGGAAACAAGGTGGGTTCGTGCCCCAATTCAAGTGGAATTTACCGTTTTCCTTCATGTGGCTTTATGTTCTACTGAAAAGAAAATATTACTCATGATCTGACATATCTCTGCTGCAATTTGAAATCAGTGGCCTTAGCTTAACTTCGTCCCCATTATTTCATCTATCTGTCTACAGGTCTCGGCATGCCTTTTCATAGATGTTCCCTACTCTGCCAAATGTTGTTTGGTTCGCATGTACATTTTACGTGGCTATACAATTTAAAGAATCATGCCTGCCATTAGCAGATTAACTTGTTTCACAATAGAGCATAACCGGTATCTGTTCCCCATCATAAAACTTGCAGGTATGGCCTTCTAAGAGGCACCTTGAAGGCCCCTGCTGTTGGCTGGATGATGTACAACATGCTTGTGAGCAATGAGAAGGCAATTGAATCACAGTACAAATCCCACGTCTATGCAAACCCTGATAACGTGACTCCAGGAATTGTGGAAAGCAGATATGCATTGACAAAACAAAAAGGAGCTCGTTATTTGCCTGCTGCTTTCTTGACTGGGGAGTTGGACCCTGTAACATCTCGCGAGGAGTTCCTTGAACTCTTTGCATCTTTGGAAGGAAAGACACCCATCCTTGTTGTATCAACCAAAGGAGCTCCAAAGAGGTCAAGGGCAGAGATGGAAGCTCTTAAAGGAGCCAAAGGAGTGACCAAGTTTGTGGAGGTGCCAGGTGCTCTACTTCCACAAGAAGAGTATCCTGCTATTGTTGCGGAAGAGCTTCACCAGTTCTTGCAAGAATGTTTTGACTCCCGGGCTTAACATTGGTGTTCACGGTTCTGCTACAGGTTTCCCCCTTTTACGTGTTGGTGAGGTTTTGGAGGTCCCAGTATTCATATATGGAAGAATGAAGTTTGTGCAAAGATAAACATGAGGGTAACTGTACAAGCGTGATTTCTTTTTGGACATAATCCCTATTTTGTATATTCGTACTTTTTATAGATTCCGGAGCTATCTGGATGAACTGGAGCATAGGACATTAGAGGAGGCAATCTGTTAATGATGAACCAGAAATCAGACCTGGAAGAGGTTATTCTGTGTTGTGGTTTGTGACAAGCCTGTAAACTCGTACAAGTATAAAATCTCTCTCTCTCTCTCTCTCTCTAAATGTTACAGAAAAAGTAGAGAACACATAACAGGTGATCAAATAATGCAAGCATGCGTTCACCAAAAAAAAAAAAATAATGGAGCCATGCGTATATTACATAACTATGAGAATGCCTGTATTCCCCAAAAAAAAAAAAAGAGGCTGTGGGACGGAGTATGTTCAAGTGATATTGATATTGAAAAAGAAATCCCGGTTATCGGTTAGTGCGTGTCTGACGAATGTGAATCGGAATGGTAAATGGCCAAGGCTCCAATGTCACCTCTTAGATCTCAGTGGTCATTT